TCTCAACGTGAATGAGTTGGTGAGCTTCAGTTTAGGCAACAAGGAGGCAACGAGGGAGCTAACCAGTAGAGAAGAAGCATAGGCTTGCCATTTATTATGGCTAAACTGACAAGATTTTTTATGCGCAAATTTTCATTGAATGTTTTTGAATCTTATTTTTTCCTATTGTGTCTTTTTCGAAACAGCTTTGTTAGTCGAATGTAATCTTCGCTTTTCCTGTTCATAAAAGTATCCATTGAGACTGTTTAATTGACAGCGTCACTGCTTTGGCGCCTTGGATCCGCGAGCTTTCTGGCTCACCTTAGGCCGCGTTCGCGGGAATTTGTTGCGGATGGAGAGGCCTATGGTGAGCGAGACGGCACGAGGATCCAAGCCGCCGAACCAATGACGATTTCATTTGAACAGCTTTTGACGAACGTGTTAGTAGGCGCCAATCTTGTCATCTTGTCCTGTGCCAATCTCGTCCGCTAGGGGATGAGCCGGCTAAAGGTTATTATAGCTATGGGGGTTATGAGGCTTGGTACAACTTTTCACTTTAGGCGAAAATTTGAATGACGCGCGTCGCTTTGCAACAGCCGGTTCGTATCGCGCGCAACAATCCTCTCTGCACCGCAGCGACAGTGTTTCATACCGTTTGAGGAACCCTTGTGGCGTCTCCTCATTTTCTTCGTTATCCTGGTGAAATGCTAGCTCGCTTGCGTCTTTTACTTAAAAACCAGCGGGTAGGGGATCGAAAGGCACCAGATTGAGCCGCCTTTCGCGGCCAACTGGTCCTTTTGCAACGTTGTTGCATGCCTTTCCAAAATCAGTTGTCCGCAGACCCAAACTGGCGGCCTTGTACCCCTACCCAGTAGCTGCTTTTGGCTCGTTGTGTACTAAGCTTTCCCAAATGGCAGCGTACCAGGGCGTCCCATGTTCTTCGCTTGATGTACCAGCGGCGTTCCTTAATTAGCGCTGCCAGCGGGGTGCCGTTGTGCGGACAAGCGGCGTCTCATCGCAACGCTCCGTAATTACCCAACGCTGCCTCCGCATTTTTGTTTGTAGTTAGTACTTCTTGGACTTGACAAAGATAAGCTTGAGTTGTTGTTCATATCGAGTTGGACCGACAGCATCCTAACTGAGTGTTATAAGGATCGTGTTCCCTTGATTTCGTTTTAACAAATCGATAGAAATAGTGGGATTCTTAACGCTCATTTCGTTTCAATAAAATTGCCGAATGGCAATTTCCAAATCAGCTAATGTTGCAGTCAATCTAGTAACCAGAAATAGGTGAAACACTGGGCCTTCGCCAAGGGTGTGTCGTCTTTGCATGCCAGCGGCGTACCATTCTCCTGCCAGCGGAGTTCCACAGCGTAAGAGCGGCGTGGGCTGCCCTACCAGGGGGGGGGGGGTGCGTGTTCCGCTCAGATGAGGATCGAACGCCGCTTGTAAGTCAGAAATTGTATTATAGAGCACTAGAGGTGAATATAAATATCTTGTCACCTCCCGAATATCCCCCCGAAGAAAAAAGAAAAAGTGCTATAGAGGCGTTTGATTTACCTCCAGACATACTGAAAGACATTTATTTTGAGTTTGCCTCTGATGAGCGATGTTCTGGTAGAACAGAGAATTGTTTTGTGCTTTACAAAGGCAAAGATGGTATAGATCTTCAGAGAGAAGGTTTTGCTAACCTCAGAAATAGTATTTATATACTGCTGACTCTCTACGCGAAGGTAGCGATTTGATTAGATGAAAACAGATCCTCGAAAATTTCTCAACTTTCTTGAGAAACTGCTTAACTGGTATTGAGATCCAGTTCGAAATCAGCCCCTAAGACGAACCTAGAACGTAGTACACGTTTCATCAGGAACGGCCATGGTCATCAAATGCCTTTCTAGGCGTTTCTTTTTTCAAGAAAGTTCGCAGGATATATTTAGTGTTCATTTATGCATGTATCACATATTATGCGCAGCTGTTTTCCTATCTTTTGCGCCCGGGAAGAACCTTGAATGATTTCGAGCATGTTCCTGGATCCTACGGGTCTGATGAAGAGTTTGCTTTTGTATTGCTTGGAGCGTTTATTCGGGGGGCAGCCAACATGAACGATAGCTAGTGACAGCCATAAGCGCTGCGTAGGTCAAAAAATTTTCAAATTCTATATTTACGCTATGATGACATTTAGGAATTCGGAAAAAACGCTAGAAGCTTAAGGGACCCTAATCTTTACTTTTGGAAACCATTTTCAATCCAAAAAGAGCATATCGCTTCAAAAAAATAAGACTTTATGCGCGGAATATTGACAACCGCAAGAGTACAGTATGCTTATTTCCAGCTATCGTTCATCTTGGCGCACACCCCGTTTATTCTAACCCGATGCAGCGCAGCATTCCACTTGTAGGTGGAGTGAACGTGTTAATACGAAGATGACTGGTGTGATTGATCAAGCTCCCTAGAATGACGTGCAATGTACACGTATAGTCTAACGGGTTAGTATGGTGACTCTCGCTGAACAAAGAAGAGTTCCATCCCAGCAAGGTGAAAATCGTTTTGCGGTCGACCATCAATTGCATTGTGAACGTGTGGTATCAAGAAACTACAGCTCAAGGCTAGAACACGATCTTGTCATGAGGTTCGTGAACTCGCCGTCATGTCTTATGCCAACATGCCGAGTGGATTACTACGGGCCCTGGTATCTGGAAATTGCCCACTTCACAAGAAACCAAAGTTCTCCACCTAGGACGCCCGGTTACTGATTACAGTTATCACATGAAGAGCAATGTCCTTAGATATGTTGAAGAGTGAAGAGATCTAGGGTACTCAGTAAACAGTCGTCTGGATTTTGATAAACATTGCAAAATTGTTGCAGCTAAGGGAATTTCGGCAGTTTACAATCTGTTTAAAGCCCTTTCCACAACTGATGCTGGCATTTTCATGCGGACATATAAGGTTTATACTAGACCTCTAATGGAATGTGGAACGGTAATCTTCAATTCAACGAAACGTACAAGCTCAGATAATCGCCGGGGGCAGGCGGCCATGCAATTTATTGGCGGGCGGGCACCGGAAAAATAGTTCGCTGATTTGTTGCGGTCCGCTTGCAAATATTTGGAAGAAATTTAGCGAAGTTTTGGACGAATGCTTGGAGAACAATCGCGGTTTTCTTATAGAATAGCTGCGGCGCATTGGCCGCATTCCCGCGGACTTTCCGCGAGATTATGCAAAATTTTTGGGGGCCGCACGGTCCTTTGTGGAAAACCGCGCAACCCCCAGGTACTTTCCGCTGGGAGAAAGTACCTCAAACTTGAGTAATTAAACCAACGGTGACACCTCTGCCACACAGAGTCTTACCTGCGCTCGATGTACGCCCGAAAATGCCTAAAAAGAGTCCGAGCGCTTGCTGAAAGTTTGGCCAGCGCTCGCTGAAAGAAATTATTTGCCGAGCGCTTGCAAAAAATGCTGTATTGCTGCCCGCTGGCAGAATATGCGACTGTAAAAGAAGTGCCGCCCGCTGAAGGTTTGGCCATGCCCCAAAATTCTGCTGACCGCCTGCAGAAAAGCGCGAGTTTGCGGACCGCCTGCCCCCGGCGATTATTTGAGTACTAGAAAGAGTGCAAAACAGTTTTACAAGAAAGTTGTTGAATAGAAGTAAAGGTCTCAAATAAGGTCATTTACCCAAGGGAAAGGACCGAAAGAAGACCTTAGGACTGACCAGCCTATCCAGTAGAAGGAGAGAGTCTGATCTTATTATGGCTCACTAAATATTATCTGGAGACTGCCAACTTAATTCTGCAAACTTCTTTGAGACTAGAAGTTCTATTACTAGACGGGGACCTCAAAAAATGGTAATATCAAGAGCAAGGAGGAATATGAGAACAAGATTCTTTAGAAATAGAGTCAGCGGCGATCTAGAAAGACTGATGCGAAAGTGCAGGCTTCCTTTCAAATTATCTCAGTTCGGATTGGTTCTTGCGAACTGTCTTCTTTCGCCATAGTTTGTTAATTGATTGTAGTCGTTTCTATGTTGTTGTGTTGTTTGTTTTCTTGATTATTACACTTAGGTCCTGTTGAATGTAATATGCATAGGGATTTCTTACGCAATAAATAATAATAAATAATAAATTGCTGCTCTCCAAAAGACCTTACACATTCGGAGTGAGCTGATAAGAAAGTTATGAACAGTAACCATTGAATACATACGGCTAAGCAAATCTAATCCTAATTATACTGTGGAACATTCAAAACGTCACAAGTTCCACGCATGATTATAATGATTTACTTAAGAGTCGCTTTTGCGGACAGCAAGATGAATTTATGGTAAAACTGAGATAGTGGCAGAAGATGATGTCTTCTGCATAATATCCTTCTCTTAAAAATCTTAAAATCAAAAAACGTAACGATTAGACTAGTCCGCCCAGTGCAAACGTTGTTGTAAACAAATAGATGCTCGTCGCGGAAATCGCAAATGATGACGACGAAAGGACGCAGAGGCCGAAAAGCAACAAACGAGTACCGAGATTGCCGCAATGGCTGCCTAATATGCAAGCGCCTGCCAAGTGTGTTGAAATATGCGAGCGGTGATTTGGGTTAGAGCTGGCGGTGAACGCGACGTACGCTGCGTACGCCGCGTACGGCGCGCAGTCTGGCGCAACCCGCCTTGGGATGTCCTACGATGGACGCAGGTTAATGAGCTTCTTGAACTTGTACTCTGGAGCGTTGTTTCCACATTTTTTTTCGCTACCAACAGACTCACATTAACTCATCAATTTCACCTTACTATTATATATACGAAAGTGTATATTACTCCAATCACGCATCTTTCGAAACAAAAAGCAGTGCTATGTTCAACCAGTGACATTGTTTTCCACATAGTGAATGCCTTTGTTCAAAGATTGTAAATTGCGCTAATTTTGGTTACTTGAGAAAAACTATGCTATCCACTCAACTGGTTTACGCACAATGTGTGCTAGATAACTTTTGTAAATTTGTCAATTCAACAATTTTTCATCAAAGAAAAAACCTACTTGACATAGTCGGCTGCGTATTGCGGTTACCCTGAAAGCAACAATTTCCATATATTTACATTACCACAGAAGTAAAGCAATGCATATTTTGCGGAGCGAGTACAAGGTGATACCCTATACAAAAATTTTATACAGTGCTGGACATAATTATAGAGACGCTCTAGAAATCATCGTAATTTTCGTTCTTGTCAGTGAATCTGTCTGAAACTTTGCTATGTGGTGCGCATGTAAGCCTACCATAACTCCTCAAAACGGCTTCCAATCCCGTTGATTTCGAACGGAGAAAAATGGAAAAATTCGAAAAAGCCTGTTTTGCAAGCTGGACATGATTATAAGGACACCTGGCCTTTTTAAACATTATCGCATTCCTTGACTCCCAAATTTTTTTGTAGAGTTACATCCCAGAATATGGCTTTTGCAGCACCTAGGACCTGTCATGCTACTCAAGGAAAGATGATCCTTGCATTTTTCGTTTCCAAAGGCATCAGAAGTCAAACTGCGTCAACAAACGGCTGGTTTGAGGAGTATTCAAGCCCGCGTTCATTTCAAATGACAGTCCTGGAATACATTTAGCCTTTTTGATAGATAAGGTGAAGAGCGCTTTCGTAAACTCCGCGTAATCGCTGATTTTGACGGACAGACTCCAACCTCAACATAGGGTTGTCGCGCTTTTGCACCACAAAACTCGATTTTCAAGTTACAGAAAACTCTGCGATGTAGCCACTACGTTAGCTGTACAACAATAAACTTGTGTGCCTAGTCAGGAAAAAATTTCGGGGTTGCGCATTCTGGTTCAGCCGCAGTTGTCATCCCGTTGAGAGTTGTGTGAAGCACCCTGCACAATCATATCCGACTCAAATCAAGAAATCGAACAGGAGAGCGGTTGAAACTTCAAAATCTCAACTAATCTCACCTATCGCGTAAAATGCTACATGAAACAGAGAAGGAAATAGTGAGATTAGTGACTGTGTTGAATCTACTGCTCGCAGAGAATTTTCGTGGAAAGTATTTCAAATCTAAATGCCAACTGCAGCACTAGAAAAAATCTGAAAGTTGTTGCAAAAGCTGCGTCTCCATGTGGACAATATAATAAATCGAGTCCATCATTTCACGAACATTGGAAAGTGAGTATTGTGGTGCAAAAGCGCGACAACCCTATGTTGAGGTTGGAGTCTGTCCGTCAAAATCAGCGATTACGCGGAGTTTACGAAAGCGCTCTTCACTTTATCTATCAAAAAGGCTAAGTGTATTCCAGGACTGTCATTTGAAATGAACGCGGGCTTGAAAACTCCTCCAACCAGATGTTTGTTGACGCAGTTTGACTTCTGATGCCTTTGGAAACGGAAAATGCAAGGATCATCTTTCCTTGAGTAGCATGACAGGTCCTAGGTGCTGCAAAAGTTTCATATTCTGGGATGTAACTCTACAAAAAAATTGGGAGTCAAGGAATGCGATAATGTTTAAAAAGGCCAGGTGTCTTTATAATTATGTCCAGCTTGCAAAACAGGCTTTTTCGAATTTTTCCATTTTCCTCCGTTTGAAATCAACGGGATTAGAAGCCGTTCTAACGAGTTATGGTAGGCTTACATGCGCACCATACAGCAAAGTTCCAGACAGATTCACTGACAAGAACGAATTACGACGATTTCTAGAGTCTCTCTATAATTATGTACAGCATTGTATCTCCTTTTACGTTTTGCAGGGAAATAAACTATGGTAGTGTAAATGCTGAGTATTCGGTGTAACCACGCTACGGCCTAAGGGTACTGCAGCAACGCAGTTTCACGATATTTGGTCGCTGCAAATTGAAACCGAGCAAATAATCACCACGCAAAATAGAGTCGCTCATAACTTGTTCACTGGACAACTTTACTGCAATTCTTGCATCTCATTCTACTCCATTATTTCACTTGTTGCAACTACCTTCACTGCCGAAGTTGTTGAAAGACTCTGAGAGAGTGCTAAGGAAAGTTCTAGAAACTTTCATATCAAGATCAAGCTAGAAAGCTTCATTCTATATATAAAGAAACGTAAGCGCAATTCAAAAATCTGCAAATAGCGGGAAACGCGTGGCGATCCCGAAGCGCGCAGATGCAATCGCACCTTTAATTACTGGTTCGCTAGTTAACTCTAAGCACACAAAATTATATTGGCTAGAATGAACTCTATATCGCGCTCACTGCCGCTGCGCGGCAGGTTCGGCTGATATTCGGCAGCTGGGAAGGCCTGCCGCCACCCTTCCTTCTCCTAGAATTTCGGGGTCAAGGGGTTGCACTTAACAAGCACTCCGAAAACAATTTTTATATCCAAACACCTCTATACAAAGCAATCAAAGATACGGCGCAGCAATATATTAGGTTGTCTCGAAAGTTTTGTCGGTATTTTCAAACCGCTATAAAACCAGGCACAATAGAGACCCGAATGCGATCCAACATGTATTCGATGCAGCTTTTCCTTCTCTTTCTTGTGAATACGTTTTCGAATTACTGTCTTGTATACTTTTTTGATAATTGCCAAAATTCTCCACCCGTCAATTTTATTTGCTTGAAGTTAAGCTAATTTTTGAAAACTCCATTCCAAACTTCGAAAAGGATTAAGTATGGTTCGAATAGAGCAGTCCTCGGACTATAAGGTAATATTTATAAATTTTCCAAATCTGCTATTTCTAGCTTCAAAAATTATTTCTTCGGAGGTTTCGTTTTTTGGCAAAGTCATGAAACGCGCAACTGCAGCAAATACATAAAAACTCTTGGAATTTCTTTGAATTGAAACATGATTCCTATTAAACATTATTTATGCAGCATAACCAAGTTTGATTTGCTTTGAAAAACAGCTTTTGGATTTTCGGTAAGTTCATGTTTATGTAGTAAACGTAATCAAAAAGCCGCAGTTTTTACAAGATAAATAATAACGGACTCAAAAAACGTAGCTCATGTAATCTAAAATGGCTGCAATGTAGCAAAAGGTTTGCTCTACATAACGGTCAACAGCGCTCATTGGAAACAAGATAAAAAATTTTGTATCTCAGGAAAGATTTGGCTTTACTGCTGAGCGGCTCAGAAAGCCATGGCGATAACATTGCAAAGACATGGTACATCAGAGAGCAAATGTAGCAGTAAGAAAGAGGATAAAAATTTGAATCAATTAGTGTTCCGTGAGTTTTGGTGAACGATGAAATAAACGGACAAAACTTTCGGGACAACCTAATATATTACAATGCCAAGATTGCTAAACAGCCAAAGTTGGACCATCTATCCAAAAACAATTTTGCTTCCCCCCCCCCCGGGACGAAAATCCTAGGGTCGCAATGAATGTATACAAAGAGCGTCCCAAAAAGATGTGCCTACTGTTTAGTTGTAACAACTCTTTTGGCATGAAGCATTCCAAAAAGTTTTAGGTGCCTTTTTTTAGCTGGCTTCAACTTAGATTTACAGTATAGAGCAAATCACCGTTCGCTCTACATCACTGTAGATTACGGTAGAAAATTCAAGCGTTTGGTGTCACCGTGAGAAAAGCCATTGTTTCAAAAAAATTTTACAAGAAAATGTGAAAACTCATGTAATAAGGGTTTCATGGACGCTGAGTTTAAGATTCAACTGTGTATAAGGTTGCGAAGCTTTCTAAATAATGTAACCGCACTGTTAAGAACACTGAAAAAACGGCCGCTACTGCAGTTACCACCTCGCACAAATTTCTAATGAAGCGTTACGATAAGTTGCGAACTTCACATTTAGAATCAGCAACTCTATTTAGTCCAGTATGAGAATTTTCAAGTTGTTTTGTTTCGTTTTTATGGCAAAACATGGCCTTTCATAGCTCAAAACGCTCTTTAATATCTCAGTAAACCACTCCATACCGTAAATCTAAGTTGAAGCCAGCTTTACAAGGAACTAACCAAAGCTTCTCGAAAGACTCTATCAGAACATAATTATTTACAATCAAACATAGGCACATCTTCTCGTAACACCTCCATATAATAGAAATTAAAGTCAGTGCAAATCCGAACAGTATGTTTTTACAGACTTTTTTGCCTGTGAATCGATTGAGCTGAAACTTTCCATACACTCTACGACCGCGGAAAGTGATCTAAACTAGCCGACTTGCTGGGTCCTTCTGTCGATATTTATATGTTTACAGACCTAAACAAATGAGAGTCTATCATGTTTTATCTCTTGTAAGCAGGGATAGTAAATTTCATCCTATTTTCAAAGTCGACTGGATTCGATGCTCCCTGAGAATGTACAGAAGGTACAGACTTTTTTAGCCCGGAGTAGGCGAAGCATTCAAAGTGGAGCAGCGCTTCCGCACCGTCGCTGACTCAGCGAGATAGACTAGAATGAAGAGACGCAGATTGCAAAGCGCGCGGATCGTTGCTAAGCGGACTTCCGCCAATCCAATTTCCGCCCAAACTGTGAAACTTACTGTCAGTGTTTGCTATTGTGGAGCATGGATGCTGGCCAGGAAGAGGAAGGTGGAGGGTACTGTGGGAAGGAACGCACACGTCAGGAGACCTGACTTGGGATTTAACCGCGCACGGCAGCCGATTTGCTGCACACGCCGCGCTCAATTTTCGTGACTCATTGCCTCTTCAGTGCTAAAGTGGCACGGGCAGAGTAGGGGAGGGAGGGGAGGGGGGCATGTAGGTGGTACATGGTAAATGAACGTGCAGCAGTGCGACTTAGGCCGTATGCGCCAACATCCCTGCAGCGAAGGGAGCGGTGTCCCCCGAAAGGGGACGCGTGCGGACGTCGACTTTTCAATCAAGGACTCCGCTCCTTTTGTCCCAGAAATGTTTATGCGTACGGGCGTCAGTGCTTTTGGCAGTATGGAGAAGGAAGTCTCTGTAAGTATGTTAACACCAGGGTTGAGCATTGGGGTCAGGCGCGCCCGACCTGGGGTGTCGCATTGGGTGTAAAAGCAAGGGAGGGGTCGTTATCAAGAAGTGAATTTGTTCAAAAAAGTGAGGAAATATTACAATCGAGTGAAAGCGCTTAACCAGGATTTTCACCAGATTTTCACCAGATTTTCACC